ACAGCTGTGCCATGTGTCAGTTTTGCCAGTTCAGAAAAAAATTTACCTCTTACAAGCACTTGTACAAATTCTGAACTGGCAGCGGGGTAGAGGAGAAAGGCACAAAGGAAAAGTTGGGCTGTTTGCCACATGTGCTGCGTTTTGGCAACAGCTGGCAGGCCCTACTCCATATGTGGAGCTCTGAAAGAACTGCAGCGTGTGCTGCTGCTTTCTAGTGATAGCAGTGTTGCAGGAGACTTGGAAGTTGGTGTTGCTTCGGTGACAGGGACTAAAGATACAAAAGACAAATCTTGAGAAACCTTATTTTTTATCTTTATTTTTTTTTAAGGACCTCACAAGAACTTTTCATTTTCAACATATGTGGTTTTCTGTTTCCCGTTATGCGGAGTGCTGAAGAATATTGGTTTCTGAATGGTGCCACTAACTCATTTTCTTATATTTGAGTGTGGTTACAGACAATGGATGTGATCAGTATTTTGTGTACTTGAAAAAAACAACTTGTGGTAGTGTCCATGTTTTTGCCCATACATTATTGAGTTGAACAGTTAACTTAATTTTGCATTTTTTTAAATTACTTTCCTTGCTATAATAGATGTTTATGGTAGAGCAGCCGCAGTAAAGTAAATGTTGACACTGAGCTGGAAGGCAGGAACTTGAGCTGGTGAGCAACGAGAATGTGGATAAACACACTCAAGGAATGCAGTAGATGCAAGTTTGCTGTAGGCGTTCGTAAGCGGAAGAGTTGAAAGGGAAGCAAGTGGGACCTGAAGTAAAGGAAGGTTTGCCACAAAAAGACAAAGCAGGAGTAAATTAACATATACATTTGAATCTGCGTGACTGGAAAGAGTTGGAAGTTTTCGGTGACCACTGACAAGCAACTTAAAACAGGCTAAGATAGAAGGGGAACATGGGAGAAAAATTTGCATGTGCTGATTGATGCAGGGCTGAATCATAGTAGAAATGCTTGCCACTGTGTGGCATGGGTTGTTTCGAGCCTTAGTAGCTTATTTTAAAGAGGTTACTTGCTTTTTTTTTTTTTTTCCTGAGCTGATTTTTTTTGGAGGGAAAGTAGAACGTCTTTACTGTATAAAGGAGGCAGAAAATGAGCTTTTCTTGCTGCGACCAGGAGTTCTTTTGTGGACCAACAAGATATGAATCATGTATAAGACAGCCACCCATTATGTACTGGGCAGCAAATTATACCAAGTACCTGCTTTTGTGAAAAGTTTGCTGTTAACTGCGAAATTACCTAGAAACAGCAGGAAAAGGACACGAGTACTCCTACATAGCAGAGGCACTGGCTGTATATGCAATGCATGCTTCCTCAGATGAAAGTAACTGAACAGTGTGAATATTAACTATGCAACTTTTTAATACAATTTTAACTTTTTTTAAAGACTTGATGAAAATTTTGTTTTGTATGGAGAGTTACTTATATGCTAAGTAAGAAATTCAAAGTGCTATTAGAGCAAAAAACAGTCTAGGTGAACCAGTCTCTGGAAGTTTGAAGACCAATTCTCTTTGCATGTATCTGAACCCTTCCTTCTTCTCTCCACCACATTCCATTATATATATACGGTTGTTTTAAAATATCAAAGCAAAAAGGAACATACAAATCAAAAGTAAATGACCTGGCCCTAAAAAAAGTGCTGTTACTTCCCAATGGAAAGATTAAAAATAATAATAATAATTAAAAAATATAGTGGTGGGTGGCTGAGCAAGGGGGGGGTGAACAAGAGGGAGAGAAGGCGTGAGAGAACAGCTACTGTTCTAAGTTCAGCTAGTGTTGAACTTAATTGTAGCAATGCTACAGAAATATTTTAATCCAGTTGTTTTTCAGTGTGTACAGATTTCTGGCAAATCTGAAACTCTGGAAGATTTTATATTGCATTATACTTTAAGAATTTAGGAACCATTTGTATATATTTTTAACTACTGATTTTTAAATCGCTTAAAAGCAATTGAATGTGAGTTCAACACTGAATAAGTAGGGGAGGGTTTGGGGGTTTCTTTTGAAAAATAAAATTCAAAATTATAATTAAATATTGACTAATGTGCTGATTTTTTTTTTAAAAAAAAATTCTCTTCCATTTGTATAAGTACATACAGTATACAATGAAACTGCCATGAATTTCATGAGGCTTATTAAAGATTTGTCATAATTTATCCACTGTAATACCATATTAGGTCCCTTGATGGGATTTAATTAATATTTTTTTTTCTCCAGGTATGAAATTTTCAGAATCATTGTTAAATATGTTTGCATTTTAACCTTGTCACAATAAGATTTGCCAGGTTCCAAGTTAGGTTTTTAATGTGTTTGTTTTTACATCCACACCCACACTCTGCACACATCCTGGTATTCTATATGCCCTATAATTCGTGCACTGTGCGAGTCGGTGTGCATTGAGAATACTTCAGTACCCTCCAAAAATGGACAATAAAGTGGTACATTTAGCTCATAAAGGTTGAATATCTGTATTTTTTTGTTGTTTTTTGTTGAACTTGGTTATATTCCTGATGATGATGTTTTTGGAAATGGGAATGTAATGGTGGTAATGCTATATTACAGTGCTTTATGTTTTTGTTATATATGATCTATATGATCAGTATGGACAACCTAAAAGTGTAAGTTTAATTTGTTTCAGTACAAATGCCATCACTTGTCCTTGGCATATGAATCCCAGATAGCTGTTTAAAGAACTACTCAGAACAGTGTCAGGCTTGGCCTTTGCATATATACTTTTTTTTTATAGCCTGTAAACAGAAAAGCAAATTATCTAGATAAACTTTATCAATACTTGATTCTTTCTTTCCCCATTTTGAGAAACCTTTACTATACTTGGATATTTATAGAAAAGACAGGTTCTAAACTGGACTGTGTTGCATACTGGCATCAGCCCAGCATGAATTTTCTTTCTTTCTTTTTTCTTTTTTTTTTTTCTTTTTTTTTTTCCCTCGCTCTTTCAGGTAGAATTTGCAGGTAGTCATGTACTGTTACTGTTGTGTCATGGCCAAAGTGTTTTGGCTTTCGTCTCCACACACAGTTCTGGTTGTTTTTTCTGTAAGGGGTGTGTGCAACAGGCCTCTGTGGTGTAGACTTTCTTTAAAAACCTTCTGGACTTTTTTGTTTCCGATGCCTTCCATTGTGCTATTTTAATGTAGCTCTGGAGATCTGTTTGTGGGCCGTTTACTGGTGGTCTGGTAACTGGTAATGAGACTGCCGAGGCCTGACATTTAATCTCATGCTGACGGAACATGAGAACTGACTCCAGCCTGCCCTGGTGCAGAGGACTGTATGCAGTTTGTCTTGAAAGATTCTTGCTCCCATCTTTTTGAGCACTTTATGTATGTACCATATGAGCTTGAGATAAAAAAAGAAATGCAAAAAAGAAAACAAAATCCCTTAAAATAGAACAAATTTATTTGGTTACTACCTTGTGCACCTTAGTGCTTTTTTTTCATGTGTAAAACACTTTTAAAAATGAGTATTCATAATGGAAATCATTAACAATGCTACCTTGTGATCTCTTGTATTTAGAGAGAGAGTATGTGCGTTCCTTGTTTTACAAGCCATGAATCTTGTCGTCTGTTCCACTTTTCCAAGAGGCTGTCTTCAAATTCTATTTTGTTTTTTGTTTTACTTTTCTATCTGTTTTTTATTTTGCTTTTCTATCTGCAAGCTTTTCTACCCTTTTCTGAATCGGAAGAAAAAATTGTTCAAGTACAACTAGAGCCTACTAAAAAACAAACAGCTTTGGAAAGCTGGAAGGGAAGGAATAGCCCATGTTTATGTGTCAAATTCAGACACCTGATACAAGTGCAGGGATAGTCTTGACCCCATCTTTTACCAGAAAACAGTATATTTTTTAAGTAAAATGACTGAGCAAAATCCTTGTGGGGAGTGTAACATTTGATCTGTTTTCAAGCCTAGTCATGATATATGTGCAATACGTAGACTCTTCTTCTCTGGCTGTTTGTTCTGTGTTAGTGCCTGCAGCAGATTTATCTTCCTTTCTTTCATGTCCTCTCCACTTTCTAGGAGCTCACTATTCTTCCCTCCCTTCCCGTTTCTTTCTATTAACAGGCCAAATGTTTCACATGCTACTTTTGAGCTAGTCAAGTGTTAGCAATAAAAGTGTGGTATTTGGGTAGAGTTTCAGAATTATATTTAGAGGTTAATTTCAGCTTGTGTACCCAAAGTATTAGGAACTGGTGTCTTAAATTAGTTCTCTGGATTAGCTTCTTTATTCCCCAAGTTAAACGGTTAGAGCTTTAAACATATTCTATCTTGGAAACGAGAGTGAAATTCTGAGCATATCATTGTAAAGTGTCTTCTCTTGCAGTGTGAATATTAAGTAATGAGAATTCTGGATTGATTCATAATGACGTACTTTTTTTTTTAATCCTTAAAGTGTTTTATAAGCCAATTGGCTCAATTCTTGGGCCGAGTGGTATGATTTTTACTTAGCTAATGATTTGCTGTGATAGACAATATCTTTTAATTATTTCTTGCCAGCTACATCTTCTCTGGATAGGTGTCTTATGCTTTGGAGGCTGAAGGCACAGTGCAGAGCGTTCAGATTTGCAGGTCACACGGACGCTGTGACGGGCGTGCAGTTCTCCCCGGATGGGCAACTCGTTGCTTCGTCTTCTCAGGACCGTACGGTCCGACTGTGGATTCCCTGCATGTGAGTATAAGTGGGCAATGATGGCTGTGGGTTTTGTTGCTGCTTTTATGTGCACTGTGTGTATTGGAGGAACTTGATCTGTTAAATGTTTCTGTTGCCTTCCCACATCCGTCACTGGGCTTTGTCAGAAACAGAGACTGGTGGGAGACTAATAACACAGTCCTTTACTCCACGTTATTCTGTAGTTCCCAAGGAAAAGTATAGCAATTCAGAGGTTGTAGGGCTATTTCTCTGACTCAAAGGATATATTTCTTCTCATAAGGATTACATAACTAGGTCTCATTTGGTAGAGACAAGTGGTAAAGAAAACCAAAATATCATTTGGGGGGGGGGAGTTTCTTTCTCTTTAGACTTTTATTCTCAGGTGGCAGTGATTATGAACTATTAGAATGATCTTAAACTAGCACTACTTAAGCTTTAATTAAATTCTCTTCTAAATAGTATATGGAGGCAAATGCTGCTACTTAATTGCGCTGTATTCTACAATTGGTTATCTAAAAATTTGGAAGTCTACATTCTAGTGTTTGCTTTACAAATAGGAAAAACTAATGGCAACGTGATAGTTTAGCTGGGCTGCATCGTTTTGGTTTTTGATTAAATGTATAGTCTTCCAGATTTATAAACAGTAGTTTGGTTTAATATTTTCTTGTTTGTTTTTCTTTCCCCTGCCCTGGCCCAGTCATGGAGAATCATCGGTACTAAAAGGCCACACGGCTCCTGTTCGTAGCGTGAGCTTCTCACACGACGGCCATTTTCTAGTTTCAGCATCCAATGATAAATCAATAAAAATATGGAGCGTTCACCGTCTGCGCCTCTTCTTTTCTATATCCCAGCACACTCGCTGGGTTCGCTGTGCCAGGTAGGTGTCTGCAAGCAAGCAGTTTGGGTGAATTCCGTGCACAAAACTCCTAATGCAGGATGGGTGCTGCCCAGGGCCAGAACTAAGACAGGGAAATTCTGTGAATGGTAAAATTGATCCATCGGTAGTAAGTTTTTAGTCAGTAATGTACATATAAATGCTTTATATATATTCTCATACACATATAAATGTATACCAAATCTAATTGAAAGCCCATTATTATTAGCATACATATATTCATTTAAACATCTGTCATAGGTTGTTAAAATAAGTATGGTTCAGAAAAAATATTTTAAAGGAGAGGTGGGGTCTTCTATAATAACAATAATTTCAGTTGATATCTTGCCTCAGTCATGCATATTTTTGTGTCGTATTGATAACTTATTTCTCAGCATTCACTCTTATCTAGATTTCTTTATAATTAATGGGAGAGGTTTTCTTACATATTCTTAGAATTACATATTACATATTCTTATTCTTAGAGAACAGTAAGGGCATAAAAAAGAGTGGTCAAGAACTAGAATGAGTTATACCTACAAAATTGGAAAAGATGAAAGGAAAGGTCTTCATATGGAAAGTTAAGTACCTTGCTTAAAGGTAGAACAGGCCTTCAAAAAAGAGAAAAGATATTTAACTGTTTTGTTTTCATATTAACAGAAAATAGACATATTAATAGAAGATCTATAGCTAAGAAAATTCTGTTAAACATCTTAGGAAGAAAATTTGATAGTGGTGAATTGCAGAGTCCTGCAAAGTTCTGAAATATCTAATGATTGAGAAGAAAAATTAAATTTCTAAAAAATCATATTTGATTTTATTGAATAATATTCCAGTATTGTTTTTACTGCAGTTGGTCACTATGAGGAATAATGAGAAATGGTGAAATTACAGACAAAACAACCCTTTTAAAAACCTAGTTTGTTAGTTGAGGAATGGTCTCGAATGTTTTGCTAGGAGTTTGGAAGTCTAGAGAGAACTCACAGGAGAATATATATGTAGGTTAAAATTGAATGTAAAGTTTCCATCATGTCCTCTTTTTATTTTCTTTCCCACCCCTTTCTATAATGAGCTTTTTTGGCATCTAAAATGCCTCCTTTAGACTTTTCTTTCCCTCACCTATGGACTTGTTTTTAATTCACTGTAGTTGATTGTGTAATAAATAACTAAATAAGAAATAAAATTTAAAAAAAAATAGAAAATGGAAAAAGCTTTTTTTCTTCACTCTTATTTACCGAGTAATTGAAAATATTCTTATAACTCTTATTTCCAAGCAGGCTTTCTTGGTTTTGGTGTATTGCTACCAATGTGTTTAGTATTAAACGTCTGATACCACTAGAATATGAATGCATGTGTTTACATATTCTAGATTTTCACCTGATGGAAGGCTAATAGCATCTTGCAGTGAAGATAAAACTGTTAAAATATGGGATACAAGAAATAAAACATGTGTTGATAGCTTCATAGATTATGGAGGGTAAGTGTTACTCTCTTTAAAAAATCAATGAAATGTGTAATTTTAATGACATGGAAGTCATCATTTCTGCTGTTAACATCTGTATGTCATAGCTAAAATTACATTAATGTTCTACCCTCCGTTAAAACTGTAATGCTCACTTTGCATTTTCCTAAAGAGGTTAAGTGACTATGTGTACCCAGCTGTAAGAAGTAACCCATAGAGAAGTTGGATTATTTAGTGGGCTTTGACTTTGTTCATGTTTCCCTTGTGTTTTTTCTTTCTGCTTGGATCACTTTGTTTAATATCAGGGCCTTTAGCAGGAAGAAAAGTTTAGGAAATCTCCACCTATATATTCACTAGTGGTGTTGCTGAGGAAGGTGTTCTGTTAGCTTCAGTGATCTGCTTCGTTTAGTAACGAAAAATACACACTACTCGCAACCCTTGATATTATACCAATATCTTCATGTTCAGGGCCAGCTTTGCTTTCTTCTGCAAATTTTATACAATATAGATTGTGAAGATTTAAACCAGGATGATTGTACTGTCTTCTCAGCAAAATACAGGTTATACAATCTGACTTACCAGGCACATCTGTTTTTTTTTTTTTTTTTTTCATGCTTGTCTGAAATGCCTTACTTGAGGTTTTTGTGGCACGTTATGCTGTTAATATTAAACATCAAATATTTCTACCAAAATGAATAATCAATCTATTTTCGTGAATTGTGTTTAGATTTGCAAATTTTGTGGATTTCAATCCAAGTGGTACATGTATAGCTTCCGCAGGCTCCAATCATACAGTGAGACTGTGGGATATTCGAATGAACAAGCTACTACAGCATTACAGAGGTAAAAACAACATGGTTTGTTGCATTTTCTTTCAACTGGAGTTCTTTGCAACAAAATGTGATCAGTGTTAATGCATGACTTAATTCCTCACTGTGAAAAGTGGGGAAAAAGGTACTGGTATTTTACAAGTATTCTTTCTGAGGATCTGCGGATTAGACAGTCTTAAACAAACAAATGAAAAAATGAACTGGATCCTGGTTATTCCTTTGCAATGGTGCTCTCAATTTTTAGAATAGAACTTAGTAAATGTTTTAGAGATTCTCCTATGCACCCAAGACTTTTGTTTGTTTGTTAATGGAGTCATTTTTTCTTTGGGAAATAGAAAAGAGGTAATTATTTGAAATGTACGTTTTATTTCTTAGACATCTCGTATCTGATCATAGTCCTATTTAATTAGTTCACAGAGCAGGGGTTAACTGTGTGTCGTTCCATCCTTCGGGTAACTATCTCATCACTGCTTCTACTGATGGCACCCTTAAGATTTTGGACCTCTTAGAAGGAAGGCTTATTTACACACTTCATGGACACAAGGTATACAAAATAATTTTATTCGAATTAAGATCTTAATAGGTTATGCAAAATCTTTTCACAGGGAAAATAAACATTTGTGCCATCATGTCTTGTGTCTTGCTACTTGTGGAAAAATGTCTAGTAGAGCATTAATCCAGCCTGTCAGAAATGGCGAAGGAGGTGCATCCACCCTAGCCCCAACAGCACACTTAATCAGTCAATATTGTATGCATGTTTAATAATGAGTAATAGTTCTCATTTTGCATTAATTAGGAAATAATTAATTTTAGAAATCAAGAGTTAATTACCTGGCACATTAATTCTTTGTCTGCACTACTGAAAAGTAGTGCAATAGCTCTCCAGCTGAGGGAGGGGGAAGTTCATGAAAGATACTTTTTGTGAGGGATGACAGCCTTTCTTCCTTATCTTCCAATGCAAAACAAACCCTACTTTTGATAACAAATCTCTCAAACACGTTGTCAAATATATATTGCATTATTAAATACATTTTTTCATTGTTTTAGTTCTCTGTAAAAGCTACAGGCAATGCCATTATCTTCCCATATTTGTTTGTAGTAATCATAATGCAAACTCTTATCAAGATGTGCAATATTTATTCTTTCTTAATAAAATTGAGTTTCATAAGGAATAGTTTAACTGCAGTGAAATTTTTATCTTGTTAAAATTGAAGAATATATTTATATTAACATTATATTTTATATTAAACTACTGCCTGGAAGTATTTTTCTCTTTGCATTAAAATACTATGACTACAGTAATAACATAATTTTGCAGTGCACTAATTAGTTTTTACTTTACAGGGACCAGTCCTTTCTGTGGCTTTTTCAAAAGGTGGTGAAAAATTTGCCTCAGGCGGAGCAGATGCTCAGGTTTGTGATATTGGCTTTTTAAATTTAAAGTCTTCTCAGTGCTTGGTACAGTAAATAAGAGTTTAACATAATGTGCCAAACTAACATGTTAATTGTAGTTGACATGATTCCCTTGCCTTTCTTCTGTTGTGTTATATAGGCATTATTTATCCTAAATTTAAATTTGAGGAGGCAAGTGTTAGATATATAGTTGGAAAAGTTAATCTTAACTACTTCAATTGAATATTATGAAGAGAAGAAGGCCACAGCACTGGGCATTTCTATTATACAAATTATATTAAAGGAGTGATTTTTAAGTATAAATATTTTTAAAACTTTGCAATTCAATGTCAAGAAAGTAGTTTTGCTGAATACACATTTCATTTTCTCTTTGTTTAAATTTGCTATTCCAACCGTATTTGTTGAGTGAAATTTGAAATATATTTCAAGAAGTAATAGAAAGAAATAGCCTTGAGAATAATAATTTCTTTTGAATCAAAAATATCAGTATGTTTAAAATGAATATAACTCTCTGTTTTCAGTTGATGCTTCAGGTAGTATCCTTTCTAGAAATGATTTAGAGACTCCCAAAAGAAATAGAAAAAGAGTTGCTTTCCATCACAAGAAATTAATGAGAAGCAATGACAATTATTAGAAAGATGCAATCTTTTGATATTAAGTTTGCAAGCAGGAAAAAGAACAAGAATGGTGGAGAAAGATGTATATTCCTTGAGCCCCTATTGCCTTCTTTTGTTTTCATGCTCAAGCTTTTGTATGAGTGTTCTCCATCCCAGAAGGAAACTTTGATTCTTAGGGATTCCTGAATTGTTGACCTCTTTC